CGTATATTTGAGCTTATAGAATTGCACTGGAAATGTAAAAACCGCACACGATAATCCAATTGATCGATTGTTACACATGCGGTGATGTGCGACGGTTGTGTACACATGTTTACGCATATAACTTCATCAATGCAATTTTCAGGATGTGAAATATGCCTCATGCTTTAACAATTGGACGTACATATACAAGGCTCAACTAGATGTATGAATTTATTTAAGTTATTGGCTGAAGCCTACTTTTCGTATCCAAAACTAGAGCAGATCTTTGACAGGACTAGAGCTAAGCGAGCTTACATCCTATGCAGAGCGTCGTCGTCTCAAACTATTAGCATACATTCGTATCAGTCGCTGCTTTGAAACGATGATCCCTTTCTAGTAGTATAGTAAGACGGGTTGTAACACAAAATAATCCCAGTAACTCAAGTGAAGCATTGATTATTTCTTTGTAATATGTTTATAATTTATTATTAAACTTTTCCATTTTTTCTTCTTATCATTATTGCACAAATTATAAACAAATGATTAATATATTGAGTTACTCAGGTTACTTGAGTAATTTTTGGTTAAAACCCGCTTTACCATACTAATCTTACTCGCAAAGTGTAGGATCTTACACAAATATTCGCGTAGATGATTCTATACACTCAAGAGAGACAGAGAAAGCGAAATAAACATGCTGAGGACGAGCTGCAGTCTCCGCTGCGAACGTTCAAAACAACGACAAACATTTGTACTCTGCATCGGCGGGTGTTTAAACGACCGAGTGTCCTGCGCAATTATGACAAAAGACTGCGAAGAGAGAATAGGGCAAAAAAGAGCAAAAAATGTACGAATATTTGCTCAAGTACAAGAAAAAAATATAAAAAGAAGGGCGTTTCGAGCAATACTTAAGGTGGAGGTAGCTATATGTATTATACGCAATTAAGCGCGCGGCCCAACGGTCGTGCATACATCTATATTGTACTGAGCTGAGCGCGCGTTCTACCTGAAGATGTTTTTATTTCCTCACTGAATAATAAGTAGTTCACGAGTAGCTGCTATGAAATACACTGCGTTCTGACCTAATACAGCGTAACCAGAAATAGGGTGTGAGATTGTTCAAGTGAGCATTTCGCATAACTGGAGAGCGTCGTCGATTCGCTCGCATAAGACAATTAGCTGGGTTTTTTTTTCTTCTTTTGTCCAGAGGAAATATGGTTGCGCAAATTTATGGTCATGAAAAGTTAAACTTGGAAATAGTCATGCTCTTGAGACTACGCAGTACGTAACGCCGAGTTTGAGAATTCATTACGCGCGATGCGGTCAGAAATTTCCGTACGGCATCGAGGATCTATAAAATGACGCAATTAAGTAATCTCCTGTATACAATTAACGACGGAAACATTTGGGGTTGAGCTTTACCTACCAGCTTCCATCGCTGCGCTTCTAATAGATTGTCGTTCTGGAAATATATCGTGCATACTTTCGGACGGATGTATAGACGATGCACTTGATATCGCTCAACGCTCACGGGAGCGATGATAATAATCGATAGTGCAAAAAAGAGAGGAGCTGAAGAAGAAGGAGAGTGGAAGAGCAGGAGGCGCATGCACGAGACTCACTCGTGATGAAGTACGGTAATAGACTGCCATTTATATGCGCGCGCGATTTCTCTTGCTCCGGCGCTCTCTCTTCCTCTCTCTCTCTCTATCTCTTTCTCTCGCGTGCTTGCACACTCGCACCCTCGCCCTCAGTCTTATAAGGAAATAGAACAGAATGTATGACACTTTAAATTTTAATATTGACTACGTATATACCACGTTAGCGTTTTGAGCACTCGAATGTTTCATATACGTTATTTGTGCAAATATAATCATCTTTCTGTGAGCTTTTTTGATATGCTCGATAAGTAAATATCAATTAGCTCTCTAAAAATTTCCGGTATCGAACATTCCCGGTGCTTTCGCCCCTTATTGTAAAACTTGACGAAACTGAAAACTTTGTGTGAGGCGTAAATTTTTCACTCTTTATTGCTGATCTTGGAAAACGGTTGAAAAATTTACTCGAAAAAAAACTGGGCTCGCCGCATTAGTCAACGGTGCAAAAATAAACGGTGCATATTATCGGCTAATACACTGATTAAGCGTCCCGCTTAAACGACGACACGAAACTATTATTCACTACAAAAACTATTGATTAACCAGATTAGATGGCAAATAAAAGAAGAACTAAGCATTACTTTATGCAACGACAGACTCTCGGAGAAAAGAAATGGAGAAAGAGAAAAGAGGGTGAAAAGAAAAATTAGTAGCAGCACTTTTGCAAGCGAGTCTTTTTCTTTATCTCAGTATCTCACACCTTTACTTCTCTTTTTTTTGCTCATAATCTATCTCAACCAGCATAACGACGCAATTCCATAACTCATATTTTCGAGAAAAAGCCGAACCAAGTTATCGATAAACTGCAGATTAAAAATTAAGCTAAGGGTTGGGACCACTTTGAAAATAATTACTTTAAAGTAAACATTAAATATGAAAAAAGATTTTAATAAACTTCATTTTGATAAAAAGCAACTTGATTTGTGATACCTTTCCACTACAGATATGCTCTTTTTATAAATGTACGACGTTGAGTTGCGGCATCCACGAGCAAAATATCCCACGAACGCCGTATTTTTATTTTTACCAATAAAAAATTCTCTAGTCATTCAAACATTTTTTACTTTCTACATTTCTACGCAAAAATATTTTTCAATATACGAGCGATTTTTATTTATAGCCAGTCTATTACCAAAATACAACGAAATAAGATCATTAGATTACCAAGTATTCTCGTACTAATATTTAAACATACCCCGTTATGAAGAATTTTCATTTACTTTTCTCACGTATGTTAGATTTTTTTATAGCCTTGAATTGTAAAATAAACGAGTAAAAATAGAATGACTCTTTACGATATAATCTACATGAAAATATCAATTATTATTTTATTACTGTTATGAATCAGGTTGAGATGAAAAAAAGTTGGAAAAGTTTTCTTTTTTTTCATAGATTCACATTTCCATTGTTTTTATTAGAATGCAACTCTAAAAAAAAGTAACAAAAAAAAAAAGTAACAAAATATTTAGTTTTACGAGCGAGCTGACTTGAATTTCCGAAATGAAACTTACGAAATCCTAAAATCTACTAAAAAAGGCGTCAAATTTGGGCCTCTTGAATTAAGTGATAGATGGTCCCAAAAATTCTGAAAAAATTCAAGCAGATTCTTTGAAAAATTTTAAAACTTTTGATCGTCCCATTTTTTCGTTCAAGTACTTCCGGAAAATCCTCTACAAAATGGGCCTTAAGGCCCATTGGATCAAACTAGCACAGAGAGCTTCAGTTTTGGGTACCAGGAGACCGCAAAAAAATTTTGGAGCAAATCCATGACCCGCACCTGAAAAGCTCTCCTTGTTAGTATTGAGTTTTTTTACAACGTTCGAAAATTAATTCTGAAACATTTGCATTTAGAATAATTATGTATAAAAACTCGCTAATGAATTAAAATAATTTGCTTGAGAGCTATATTGAATTTCCAAATTTTCTCAAGGCAAATCATGGATTGGATCGATGAAAGTATTATAGTTCGACTGAGCAAATAAATTATTCCATGCGACCATTTCTGTTAGGATCAAAAACCTTCAGAGAGAAAGAGAAAAAGAAGAAGAGAGAGAGAGACAGGCAGAAAGAGAAAGAGAGGAATAGAGAGAGAGAGAAAAGTTATAACTAAAGAAAGAGATAACGAAATCCGTGGAAGAGAGAAAAGTAATGGATAGAGCTCTCTTCAGTAGCAGCTAGTATTATACAGTGCGGGAAAATAATGGAGTTAGTTCTTATATATACCATGGCTAAGCTTCAGCAGCGTAAAAAAGTGAAAAAAATAAAGATAATAAGAAAAGAAAATAATAAATGCACGTCTAGGTATGACGATGAAATTTTTTTTCTTTGTACCCGTCTGTTTTTAAATTAAAAGAGTTTTTGGCGTATATTTTACTCATAATAGTATAAGCAGTCAATAAAAACCAAAACATATGTCGAAAAAAAATTTTCATCGTGCACAGAAGTTTTTAAGCAAAATTATATTCTCGCGAAAATATTTCCACGTAGCTTGGTCGTTACAAAATTATTCGTTTACATATGCAATTATGCTCCGAGCCCTGAATACTGGTGAATAACTAACGAATTTAAATATAAATTATCAACCTATATACTGCCTACACATTCGTTGCGTCCAAGTGCATTTGTGAAGTGTAAATAATCCAATTTCCGTCGCATGTGAGCAGTTTATATTAAAATTTTTCCTAGTCAATCTGCACGTGGAATCGCAATCAATCTGCACATTCAAGCTTTCTTTGTCTTTCTCTCTTCGTGAATAATACAAATTGTTGACTATTGAAAAAAAAGAAAATTACATCTACGTACATTTTCTTGAAAATACACATATAGCATATTCTGAAAAAATCTGTTTCATTAGTGCCCCTGTTAAAAGAACTGCTCTCTTGCAAGTGTAATTGATAAGTAAATGCTATAAAAGAATAATTGGGTCATCTTGAATTTAGGAGTTTTTATAAGCACGCATTAACGACGAAACGACAATGATAAAAGCTTGCGCCAATATTTAGAGTAGTGAAATTCTCTCGCACCTTATCGAACCGAAACATAATAAAATTCTGATGAATAATCCTCGATTCGATAAAGCTGAATGGTAGATAATTTGACTCTTTCGCAGCTGCATCTGCTGACATTGCGAGCAGTCACGCAAAATTATATCTTGTTCGTCACTCTACGTCTGCGATAATTGATTTCTTCTCCCTGTCATTGTTCTAATTACTTAATCGGTTTAGCCTACTATAAGCATCATACTTGAAAAATGCATCGCAATCAATCACTCCTTATAGCTCTGCAAAAATCTTTCGTTTAATTTTTATTCATTTTTTTACCGTATTATTGTAATCTAATTTTATTTTTCTTTTTGGATTTCAGAAATCATCGGTAACGATGGATCGGCGAACACTAGTTCACCTGGCAACAAGAGACGTGGATTCAGTGGGTGAGTTTATATTATAAGGTACTTTGCGTCTAGTTAGTTATTGATGGAATATTATAACACAATAGTGCTAGCCAAGCTAGGTAGAATCAGAAATTTTTATAAATAGTATTTATACATTCTCGTAGTAACATGCATCGAATTGTAAGGCCGTTTTTCATGGGAATATTTTCACCTCGTAAAAAGCCTAAAACTTTGATCTCGATCGAGTTATTCCGAGATATATTCTAGAGAAATTATTCAACCGTGGCAAAATAAATTAATATTTTTATTTATAATTCAAATCTTTTAATCTGTGATAAGGTTTAAAGCTTTAAGGAACTTGGCTATCTGCTATTACATTTGTATATACATAGAATCCGGGCATACGTGCACTGGATAGAATGAAAAATTCTACTTTGACTTTAAAATGAAATTGTGAACTAGAGTCAACGAAGGACTCGCTGTGTAAAATAAAAAAAGTGAGAGAGAGAGGGAGGACGAAAGGCTGTTCCACCAAAAAGCGTAATTTCCTCGCGTTTTATTTACGAGTTTTGCTGGAGGAAAACTTTTAGTTTCAAATAAAAGTTAAATATTCAGTGTTGAATTCTCGGCACGGTCAATTAGTGTTAATGGTATTTATAATACGTTGCAGTGCTTTATTCATATGAAACACAAAACACTTGGCTTTAATTTCGCACACAATTTTTGGTACATAATTTAATAATTATACGCTGAAATAGCTCGCGAAGAAGATAAAATGAAAGCTCGCCTCTCTGCAGACGCTCCGTACATTGTGCGATATAAACGAAAGCACTAGCGGTTTCGCTGTTCTCTCTCGGGCTGCATACAGCGATCAAAGTAAACTTTAAATGAAGCCGCGGAACATCCAACAAAAGATTTACTTTATAAGCGACCACGCAAAAGTTGTTCATTCTTTATAATCTACTACTCCTCGACACTCGGTGCATGCGCGTCCGATGAGATATTTTCACCTCGCGGTAGCGCCTAAGCTTTAAAGGTCAAATGTCAAAGACATCACTCGGCCCACTTACGCTTCGAGCATTTTAAGCGGGACGCTTAATCAGTCTATTAGCCGATAATATGCACCGTTTATTTTTGCACCGTTGACTAATGCGACGAGCCCAGTTTTTTTTCGAGTAAATTTTTCAACCGTTTTCCAAGATCAGCAATAAAGAGTGAAAAATTTACGCCTCACACAAAGTTTTCAGTTTCGTCAAGTTTTACTTTTCTACTTGTATCGCGATCCTAAACTCACGTTGGCAGCTTTCACTTCAAAATTAGCCGTGTCAAAGTTTTTGTATACGCGTGAGACCCTTTTCCGAAAAATTTTTCAGCCAAGTCCTTTGAATGCTTTGCCAAATCCGATGTACTTTTATCGAAACCCGTACGTATCCATCCTACTCGTATGAAGCTCTGCGCATCACTTCACCGAGTTTCGCTACTAATCAACAATTCAAGTCCTATGTATCAGGTCTGACGAGCAAACACATAGTTAGGATAAATATACATGCAGATAGCCGTCGTTGACATTTTTAGCAACGGACTATGCAATGTGCGCGATCTGTGCGACGAAATGACGTGCTAGTGTCTCGAACGTCATAGAACGTGGCTTACTTTATATATGTATGTAAGCTGAGACTTCCTCGTCTATACTGGTGCTACAGGTATAAAAGTTTGGAAATTTTTTGCGAGATTTTACCTAGCTTCACGCTTAATTGACCCCGTGTATAACTCATGATTGCATGGTAACTACTCGACTAGATCTCTATCTTGAAGGTGAGAGGCGAATTGAATTTCTCGAATTTGGAAAAGCGACGGATTATTAGGGACAAAATTTACGCGAATACCGAAAAGACGAGAGCTTTCAGGTGCAAGCGAGGTTCCAATGAAATACGTGACCTGCAGGAGTTACAGTATCCTTCTGACTTTAGACTAGAATACATAAGACGTGATAATTTTCATACACCGTTACTTCTTGAAGTTTTTCATTACAAACTCTCGCTCGTTTATCATTTCAACTCCATTTTGAAATCAAGCCGGCTCGTTCTGGTCTTTTTTCTTTTTTTTTTTTTTGTAGCAAAGTTTAAATTTGAACTTCTCCTGAGAAAAATATGAGTAATGAGATTACAAGCTGAAATTCGCTGTCTAGGCGCATCTTTCGTTGCGAATCTGAGCATCTTAATAATCTTATAAGTTTGTTGAGAAAAGAAAATAATGGAGCTTAAAGTCGGTTATTCGATTAGATAATCGATCGACGAAAAAATACATCGTTTGATACTCGATACACAAAAGCTCGCTTTGAATGGAATAAACCAACTTATATGATATGCGTGGATCGTAGAATGGGAGGGGGTTAGAAGTTTGGATGCGTCAAGAGCTTTAATAGAGTTGGCAAATTTTGTGCCAAGGCGTAAAAGTATTGGCATGCTTGCCTTCGAGTTTCAAATCATAAAGATAAAAGTTTCCCGGCTGACTCTGTTTCTCATCTCTTTCTACATGAATTGTACTACATACAAAGGCATTTCAGCAGCCTGTTCGCTTATTCGAATACAATTTATAACTTTCTTAGTCATTCTTTTTTATTTCTCAGAAAAAAATACTAATTGAATTACGATTGTAAACCTTTTTTTGCAATTTATCTTGACACTCTTCATGCATAACAAATTTTTCATCCTAAAATATGTACGTTTGTACATTTCAATACTATACTTGAACTGTGGGATTTTCTCCGGAGTTGAGAAGATATTGTATAATATGGTTGAGGGGCTTTTAATGTGTTGGGTGCAGAATCTAGATTTTTCATGAATCTTTTTTTATAGATTAGAACCTGCTGAATCAAAAAGTCACATTTTGATTTTTCGATTCACGTAAAAAATTTTAAGATACTTGACCTCGAAGTTAAGAAAATAAACATGAATTCTTATGGAGCTAATTGCACGAAAGACAGTAATAAATCACGAACTTAACCCATTAATGTCTAAAGTGAAGAGATTTTTCGTTCGCGATCGTTTACGATTTTTTCCCAGGTTTTGGACCTTGAAAAGACTCTGAATGTACATGATTTTATATAAAATTTAATGCCCTTTCAGAATCTGGGCTCAAATTTAATATTTGATGCCTTCTTTAACAGTTATGGTTGTTTTTTAAACAAAAAACGTAAAAATTTGTGTAAAAAATCAATTTTGAGAATTTTTTTCGAACTGTTGCGGTAAAAAAATCAAGATATAAATATAATAATAGGTGATCATAGGTGTAGAAATACCTGGGGGGTTTTTACAGATTTTTCCAATCATTTTTTCTAATAAAATAGCAGTCATGACGTAAAATATTTACTGAAAATTAAACTCAATTTTTATCTCGATAACCATTGGGTTTATGGAAAAAGTTTATACAACAAAAAAGTTCTAAAACTGATTAAGGAATACTCTCGAATTTTTCAGAATTTTCGGAGCGCTATTTTCTGATTTCCATCCTCTGAATCCATCGTCCAAGTCTAATTTCCCAAAATAATTTCGAATAGTTCTGAAAAAATTTGAGAATGTTCTTCGATCAATTCTAAAACTTTTTTGTTCTATAAACTTTTTCACTAAACTCAATGGGTTTCGAGTAAAAAATTACACATTCTCTTCCGTACATGCATTTTCTTGCATGATCATATGCACGAACAATTTACTTTATGGCCACCATTTTGTTAAAAAAATTGGTTGAAAAGTCTGTGAAAATTCACTAAGGTACTTTTACACCCATGATCACCTCTTATCTTATTTATATCTTGAGTTTTTCACCGCAACAGTTCGACGAAAATTCTCAAAGTCGATTTTAGCACAAATTTTTGCATTTTTTTTTGTTTAAACAAGAGCACCAAAAAAACCTTGGCTATATAGTACATAACAATAAAATTTGATGATTAATATTATACGGTAGTTTTTTGAAAACGGCCGGATTAATCACGAAACCTATCTAAACCTCTTGAAGTTACAGACGAAAATGGCTGCCACCACCATTACGCAAATTAAGTCAAAGTAAAGGGGATAAAACATCGACTGACCGACCGCCACCACCACCACCTCCTCCGCCACCTTCGTCTGGTGTCACGAAGAAAAGTGGCCTCGATAAGCTATTCAAGCTGCCGAGCTCTGGTGACAAATCGTCGTCCTCGTCGCAAGCTCAAATTTCCGCGATCTCGTCCTCCCCGGGCAGCGTGCTAGCCAGCAGTGCTTCCTCGAGGCAGAGCAGCGGTGAAGGTACCGCGTCTGCAGCCACTCCTATTCCAACCCCGACGGCCACCACGACCATTAGTAGTGACGAAATTAGTCGATTGCCTGAGCAGAATGGAGCCGAGGACGTCGAGGACGAACAGCTCGAACTGCCACCGCCCATGAAACCAATTACCGAACCTATGATGGTTTCCGGTACACCTAGCACCACAGCTGGTGACGAACTGCCTGGTCCATTGGTATGCTTCTTTAATAACAATTTTTCATTCATTTATAACTCAAATGAAAAAATAAACAACATTTTTTCTTTTTTTTCCGTAGACGACGGAGACGATAAAGTCATTGGATGGATCCACTAGCATAGCAGAAATTGAGCAGATAGTCAAAGAAAAAATGGTAAATATCTTAAACTATACATTATTTTTCAAAATTCAACAACAGCCTCATAAAAAATTTTAGGCGAATATTTTCTTATGCCTTTCAAAAAATCTATGATAATATGATTTATGCGCTTTTAAGGAGCAACATACGGAAAATCGCGAAAGAATCAGCAGCACGAGCAGTGGAAGCCAGCAGCAGTCGCAGGTATTGAAATCATCTTCGTCCGTGCAAGGCACTGAGTCGCCAGTTTTGGGCGCATCGACAGAAACAGACGAACCTACGTCGTCTAGTGGCAGCGATGATCCCGAAACTACGGCACTGACCAAGCGGCAGTTCGTCATACGTGAATTAGTTGAAACTGAGCGTGATTACGTCAACGATCTGCGCCTTATTGTCGAGGGATACATGGCCATGATGCGTAATCCGGATAATGAGATTCCTTTGCCAGAAGATCTCAAGGGTGGCAAGGATAAAATGGTGTTTGGCAATCTCGAAGCTATCTACGAGTGGCACAGAGAGTGAGTTTCTTAATTATCTTTATTTGTATTTTTTTGTTAAATTATTAAAATAACAAAAATTGTAAATGACGTAATCGGACAAAATAATATTCTGAAATTTAATATCAAATAATTACATCCTAATCTGAACTTTATTAATGATTCGTTATGAGATTTAGTCGTCTTGGATACATAGTGACTGCTTTCATTAAATAATCCCCGATTAGATTAAAAATTATTTTCATTCTCGCATGAATCGACTCTTTCCATTCAACCTGTTTATTTAAATTGTATTTCAGTATTTTCCAAAAATCCCTTGAGCACTGCCTCCAGCGACCCGAGGAACTTGGCCCTTTGTTCAAACGTCACGAACGAAAATTGCACATGTACGTTGTGTACTGTCAGAACAAGCCGGTCTCGGAGTATATCGTATCCGAATACATCGACACTTACTTTGAGGTAAAAACAGAAATTACAATTCCAAACTAAATAAATCTACTTCAAAGAGACATTTATCATAATAAATCTTCTGTTTAGGATCTACGTCAAAAACTAGGACATAGGTTGCAACTGTGTGATCTTCTAATAAAGCCTGTACAGAGGATCACAAAATATCAATTGTTACTTAGAGAAGCTCTCAGGCTAACAGAACGAACTCGAAGACATTCAGAAATTGAAGGACTGAAAGCAGCTACAAAAGTAATGCGAATTATCCCCAAAGCTGCTAACGATATGATGGATGTTGGCAGACTGCAAGGTTTCGATGTAAGTTACAATAACTTATTACATTAAAACCTCAACATACTTGTAAAAACAATACACCACAATTTTTATTATTTAATCCGTTTTACATTGAATTTAACTCTAAATTTAAATAATCAAAGAGATTAATAAAACTCTTAAAATTAGGGAAAAATCACAAGTCAAGGAAAGCTTTTGTTACACGGACCTTTGATGGTTGCGGAACTGTCCTCCATGCCAAGTCGAGGTCGAGAATGGCAAGTTTTTCTATTCGAGCAAAATATCATATTTAGCGAAGCAGTTGGAAAAAAGACACAATTCACAAATCCAGCCTACATTTACAAAGCTCATATCCAGGTAGGGTACAAATCTCATAAGAAGTTAATAATAGCTCCAAGGAATCTGATACATTCTAATTGATTGCTCAAATGACAGGTAAATAAAATGATCCTCGAAGATTACCCTGAAGATCCGGAAAAGTTCATCATTCGCTCGACAGATGTTAAAACACCTCTTGCTTTTGTGTGCTATTGTGGTGCGGTAACAAATGAAGATAGTGCAGCAGGTATCGGTAGTAATCGCCAAGAATGGGTCGACCAGATGACCTCAATTCTTCAAACGCAACGTGATTTCCTCAAGGCGTTACAATCGCCTATCGCCTACCAAAAGGAACTTACCAAAGATCCACTGTAAGCTCTCATCTCTCCTCGCTTTGAAAAAACAAAAAAAACGAAACTTTATGGGGGATGGCTATAACAACTAAAATATCATATCTACATCCCTTTCCTCGCACGCATTTGAGCAATCATACATTCTTATAACGATGATTATTACTACTGATATCGATACTAACAAAACAAGCATTTTCGCGCGTAGGATATTGTAAAGCCCAATGTATCAAGAGCTAGTTATATCGATTCTTTACTTTTAATTAAATGTTTTTTTATACTCTTAGCTTAAGAATGTTACCTTGATCAGAGGTTTACAAATTATTAATTACATGCATTTTGAACTAGACTGTCATGAACTCGTACTCGTTAATTGTGACTAGCTATAAATACATCGTTTCAAACGTCGTTTTTAACTTGGTAATCTTAGAATTAATCGTAGATATTACATAAAGTAAGATAATTAATCGTGAATAGCTCTTGATACGAATACTATCATAATTTTCAATCATAATTTACATAGCTAATTATCATGGACAAAAAAAAAAGACAGTTCTCAAATATAACTCGACTAAGTTCTAGTCTTTGACGCTCGATCTGTGAATAGTCGTCGTTCCGACATATTTTTGTATATTTTATATAAAGATAACGATATATATACACAAGTATAAATAATACCGCTATGAGTGACAACAAGATGTAGTCACCTTGTGTTCCCTGTATTCCCCGATTTTCATTTGCATATGTGCAAGTATATATTCATATATATATTTACAAAAAAGTATTGACGAAATTCTTCACAAAATAATTTGGCGATATTCATGAATAGATTGATCGTTCCTTTTTTGAAAAGTGGAACCCTTTTTATTTTTCTCTTTTGATCTCTCAATTTTTACAGAATCACCTATATAAATGTGTATTAACTTTATATTCAAATGAAAAGTATAGATAAAATACCTTCTTCAAGTATTCACTTTGATCCACTGGCTGAAGTTTCATCCTGAAAACCTTAAGAAAAAAAATATTTATTCTAAATAATATTAAGTCGTTACGAAAAAAGTCGTAGCGAAATTAAATTTTGATATTCATTTTCAAGCTGGAAAATATAAAGAAAAAGTCAAATTATTTTTGTCGTCTACAGAAATATAAAAATTCAAAGATTTTCAGGTACATCTTCATGCCAGGAGGTTGCCCTTACGCGTTATCTTTGCCTTCTTAAGAAAAAAAAAGTAAATGCCTGCACTCGTTTAAATATCATGAAATTCGAACGCAAAATAATAAAAAAGCGGGTCGTTCCAGAAAAAATAGATCGTACTGTTCCCTGCATTATCACAATAAATAGTTACAGCAATCATGATATAAAAAAAGTTGAAAAGCTAGTTTACAAAAATATCATTTACATATCAGTGGCCCGAAAGTAACATTTTTCTGCCGCTGCGCTAAACGGAATATTGCTATTTTCGGGCCACGGGGTATGTAAAATAGCATACTGACCTATACCGGGAAAAAATAAAGCCCCAGTGCACGTGCTAATCGACCTCGGCTTCGCCTCGGACGCTTATTTCACGTGCCCTGGGACTTTTCTATTTTTCCCGGACTAGGGCAGTAATATACTATCAATCGCAATCTCTAAATGTCTTGTCTTTTTATTCAATGGAGCCTCTGAACGCGTAATAATCCGTTCCAATGTGCATAATTATGTGTATGAAATTATACATATTTAAGATACGTATTGGTAATATGATCATATACAAAAACAAAATATTACATAATATGAATGCTATTTACTTGCATTTTTCGAGTGACATAAAAGTGAGAAAAAATTAATAAAACTCGAATTACATATAAATGAATAATTAATAACAATAATAAAAGTAAAGACATATTAATAATTCAGAAATAACGCAAAATATAATATGCAACTAAATGCATGAGGTGTATTTCACATCTAAATAATAGTGAAGGCAAAACTTAAAAATGATATCAAAAGTGAACATCTCATGAATGTATAATAAATATTACGTGAGAATACCAAAACGCTTTTGCGAACCGATCGAAGCAGAGTATGACGATGTGACAAAAATTATGGAGAAAAAAGATGAAGGATATATTTATAATAATTTTAATAAAATTTATAAAATGCTAGCAGGAAGATAAAATGCAAAATTAAATATCGAACGTAATGTTGAACTCATTTACACACACTGGCGTAATCGCTGCGCTCGGCGAACAAAAAATATGGTGTTCATCCCATTGTAAATAATAATATACATATATTATAATGCAACTGAGATTTTTAGGTGTTGGAGGAATTTTACGTATTACAAAGGTATTGCTACAGTAGGTATAAGGTACAGAAAAACCAGAAGTAACAAAAAAATTACGATATCTTATGATAATTATTATATGGACTCGTAAGCGTAACACACTTTGTGTAGAATAAAATCTTCTATTGACCAAGATAACTTATCGCGTAGTCTCTGAATTTATCACATCTCTGCTTTCCCAAAAATCCCGTTGTTGAAATCCCTGTGTTAAATGTTTCGACCCTAGAGCTGTATTTGTGTACTTTCTGTACTAAATATTTTCGCACAATAGTTTAATTGCACCTGAGTAGCCATTTATGTTTTCACTCACAATCTTCAAGTTAATGTTATAAATTTTAATTCTTAAATTTTTCAAAATTTTCAAGTATTTTGTAAGCAGTAGGTATTTATAACTAAGATTGAATGACAATTTTTCATTAGGATTATAATTTAAAATGCGGTAGTACAGGATTCACAGAAGAGCTTATAATGCTTCTTATTTTTATTTACAACCAAAAAAGCAGTACCACATCGCTTTTTTCACGTTTAATGCAAAACTATAACTGTTTTAATAGTATTTACTAACTTGGTTATGGGAAAATGATAAATAACGTTTTTGTCACGTAATTCTGTCTTAACGCCCAAGAATTGTGTTTTTTTTTTATCGTGTCGAATAATATCACATGATTAAATTTCAAAGTTTCACTACATTATCAGTTTGTGTTTCTTTGCACCTGTTCGTTTTGAATATCTTATTTTTACGCGTAGTCTGCTGAACAACATCTGAAGTTGCATTAGTTCGTATTGAATTTGGAAAAGTAATGTAAGAGTTTCGATAAAAGACAGAATCACCTGACACGATCGCAATGAACGACGTGAATCATCGTCATCATTGAAAACAATGAGTTTAAAAAATTAAGGTACTGCATTTTTATTATGCATCCCTTGTTAATTTATGATTTGCTGGCCTATATGTTACCGCAATGCAGCAGTCGTGGCAGCTTCACAGCGACCGATTCTCTGCTGCCATCGAGTCGTCTATCAGCTATCAACCAAACAAGCGGTCAGTCAGCAAGACGAGAATCAACGGCGTCGGTTTCATCGAGCAGTGTCAGTAATTCATCTAGAAAACAGCAACATCAGGTGCAGCGCTCGCGCACTGGTGGACCTCTGGATCCAGCTGAGCCACCGCGCACCCCGAGTCCGTCCAAGAGCAAACTTAACTTTCTCGAGGGTTTCAGGAACACGCTGAGGGCTCGTTCACCTGTGCGCATTGGAACCGTGCCGGTGAGAATAGAGCGATAAGATATTGATAACATTCTAAAAGAAATTATTGCATTGATTCCTAATAGTAGTATTATTTATTATCATTATAATATGCTAGTACGATCATTATAATGTATTAGCTCCAAGTGTTAATCCTTTATTTTACTCCTATTTCTAATATGTTAATTTTTATCCAAGATTTCTTAAATTTGAAATTATTTTCTATTAGTCTACTAATTTTTCGTTAAATGCTTTTTACGTGTATGTTCTCATTTTATTTTCATATTTTCTAATGCAGTAGCATTAAAACATTAACTTTTTGAACAATTAAATTATACTTTAACTAAAAATTACAATTTGAAATGATGATAACATTATTAAAAAATTTCAATGCACAGAAATAACATCCAAATTTTCTTCCCTATAAACTGCTTTTGTAGCAAACGTTATATCATTTTGTAATTAAAAAATTTTGCTGTTTAACACGATTGAATTACACAATTCATTTTAATTTGATGCAATGATACAACATCTGTGATCATCTTTGACAGTAAATAATTCTTTATTACAGCCAAGGGATACAACGTCTACTTCATCGTTTTTTTCTTGATGTCTGTCGATGACAACTTATTATTGTCTTGCCTTCTGTCGTGGTAGTGATAAGACAGCGTATTTTTACTACTAAGTTTAAAAAAATACAAAATAATGAAATAAAATCAAGACCGTTAGAGCTTAATTGAAAAATCAGTATGGTTCTGATTTGTTTTAGTTGATAAAAGTCGCCGCTTGTCGCTCATATACACTTTTATACTGAGAATATCAGTATGACTTTATATAAAGAGGTGTTATCGCGTTTATTAAACAGCCAAAATTTTTTTAAAACATGTCCATCGTAACTACTGACAAACAAATATGTGTCGTAAATAATTTTTCACGGTGATTTGATATTATCTTTGGCTTAAACGTAAAACTTGACTGTGATTAAAGTTTCATCGGAAAGGTTTTTTGATACAGTTTTGATTCAATTACTTCATTCTTTTTTTATCATACCATTTTGATGCAACTTTTTTAATTTTAGTTACGTTTCAAATAATTTTTTCAAGGCATTACATCTTGATAAATACGTAATAAAATTTTTTTAAAAGATTTTCAGAAGAAGTACTCGATAGTTTTAATAGTAAATAAAAATTACTTATGTAACAATTTAGTTGTTTTCTCTAAAAAGTAACAGAATAATTTACTTAAGAAAAACAGGAGTCCGTTTTCTTTTTGATCTTGAAATCATGAACATTTTCGACAAAATGATACAGCAATTATTCGACAATCTTTAATTATAAAGCATGTGATACCTCCAGAGTAATTATCTACGAACATTTCTGTGAAATAATAATCTTTATGATTTAGTATTAAACTAGATCGATCCATGCACTATCTTATCGAGCTGACTTGTAAAATATCTTAACTGCAATATAGCACACTACAATATTGTAATAATTTGGCTGGATATATAGTATTATTAGTTTGTAATTTATTTGAAACATAAGCATGGTTCGCGAAATGAATAGGTGTATTAAGTACTGATCTCAAAAACCAATAAAAAGCTGAAGTTGGACGAGCATGTTAACTTATCAGCATGGTCAAGAGCATGTTATTAACTAATTCTACTTCCTCTGCTACGTTGGTCAGCTGGAAGAATCTCAAGTAACATTTGACTGGTGAGGGTGTACAATTTGATCATTCTTAGATGTGATTTGTCTGGTCATTTTTACTTCGTAAACGTTTCATTTATTCACTAATATGGGTTTGGTTTAGTTGTCCTTTCAAAACTAATACATCATCGATAATTTATATCATATACTTGTATATGAAACTTTGCCATCGATCATTGTTTTCCACAATAAATATTTACTTTGTTACATTTATTTTATTCACATCATTATTTTGATTGTCTTTTAGACTATTGATATTTAATCTTCAGATTCTACTGAGTTATTCAAAATCATTGAAAAACTTTCTGATTAGAATGAGGAAAATTAATCGGAAAATCCAATTGTATAACAGGTAGCTCCAGGTGCTCGCGTCCGTCTATCCGCAGACTGGGGTGCTTTGCGAACCGGCGACGAAGTCGTCGTAAAACGCCTCGAAGGTAATGGGCTGGTCGTCCATCAGAGCGAAACTCCAAAACAAGAACACTGGATTCCGGCTAGCCTAATTCCCAATTCTGCAGTGAGCCGTGCCTGGTCATTCCGACCTCGCAAGGCTAATTCCGATCGGTTGAGTGTTGCAGACGCTATTCCACCGTCATCTAGCACTAAACATTTGGTATCGCCGAGTATTTCTAGCGCGCCTACGCCTATTAAAGTGAACTCGGGCGAAGTCGCCAGACTCGCTGTTCAGGTTTCGCAGGTAGGAATCACAATTTTCCAATTGTCATCGAAAAAAGGAAAAAATGATTTTTTAAAAACATTGCACTTTATTAGGCCGAGGGAGCTGTGGTTGTTTGGCGACGCGATGGCGAAGATAGGAATATCGTGGAAAATGGCAGGTACCGACAGCGTCAAAGCGCCGGTTTCTTTTACCTGGAAATAACGAGATGCCGACCATCCGATTCTGGTTTCTATTGCTGCAGTATCCAATGCGAAAATGGCTCCTGCTCGGCAAGGATATGTCTCAACGTAAACGGTACGCGTTCATAAAGTTACACAAATTTTTTACTTGCGACCAAGGAAATATTCACTCAATATTTCGTGATCGATTCCAGGTGGTACAGGTACAACCTGGGCGCGAGTGATTGATTCGACCCGCATCGAAATCGACTGGGAGGCCGAGGAGGTCGGCAGATGCGACGTTGAGTACCGCTCCATGCCTTCCACCAATTGGACCACGGCCTTGGAGGACATCGAGGTACCACCGGTGATACTGGACTTGCTGCCCGGAGCGAGCTACAGTTTCCGGGTTGTCAGCAAGGCCACCCGAATAGCTACTACGACCTCTTCGATCGTCCATCTACCATTGGGTGACGGCACAGCTTGGGAAGCAGAACAGTTTGTCGCGAGATATCTCGAATTGGATGAAATTGGTAAGGGCCGATTTGCTACTGTGCGGCGAGCTCGCGATCGCGGTACTGGACAGGAAGTCGCCCTCAAGCAAACACCCCGACCAAAACAGTCGCGCTCGCTGACCCGCGCTGAATACGAATTGTTGGCTTCGACGCATCACGGTAACATCGTTCGAGCTTTTGCTATGTTCGAGAATGCTCCGATGTTTGGAGTCGACACTATTGTTTTAGAACTGTAAGTATTGTTGCTCGATTTGCAACTTGGTTGAGATATTGTCCCAGTTTCTCATTCAGACATTATTCTTCTTGCAGCATAAGAGGACCAATGTTATTCACTTATTTAAGCAGAAAAACAGAATATACCGAAAGTACAGCTAGTAAATTTGCCAACCAACTATTTTCTGCCCTTCAATGGTTGCATCAGAGAGACCGGGCTCATTTAGATCTGAAGCCCGAAAATGTACTTGTCGATCAAGAGACAGGTATCATTAAGCTTATCGATCTTGGTGAAGCAGTTCGTCGACCCGTCGATGAAGTTGTTCCACCAGCTGATCTCGAGTTTGCTGCTCCTGAATCTGTATTAGGAAGACCAGCCGGGCCTTACACCGATATGTGGGCCGCTGGCGTTTTCGTCTATGTATTAATCAGGTTAGTTAGTTATACTTTTTTCAATTCTTACTATCATTATAATTTTACTATAATAACTTAAATTTTTAACGATTTCAGTGGACTATCGCCATTCCTGGATGACTCGGTTGAAGAGACAACGACAAATATACTCAAGTGCGACTTTTGCTTCCCCGACGAGTACTTCGAGTCAATTACAAACGAGGCAAAAGATTTATTGCGCAGTTTGCTGTGTATGCGCATAGAGGAACGCGCATGTGCTGCAGTCGCTCTCACTTCTCCATGGTTCAAGATATCCAAAGGTGCTACCATACCATCGAGGCGGATGGCCGCGTTCACCGAGCGCCGAGCGCTCTGTCCAAAGTCGCACCAGGAGCATCGCAGTACCCCATTCTACACATAAAAATACACTCGACGATCATAATTTTAACTTGTAATTCATTTTTTTTCAACAGATGCGATATTATCGTTTTTAAGCAGATTAATAAAATATATATACGATTAAAATGTAATTTTTAGGATTGATCTTAATGTAAATACAGATTATAATATGAACGTGTACCTATTTCAATGATGTAAATCGATCAGTTACTTATATAATATACATTTTATTTCATTCCATATCAAGCGCGTAAAATACCTTTTATTTATAATTTTAAACGATTGTTTACATAACGATTATTACTATTATTATTTTTATTATTATACATGTAAAATCTGTGTTTATCACGTTACAGATTATTATTTTTCTGAATAGTTTATACTAAGATGAGTGTTTGTAATTTATTTTTTTCAGAAATATTTTTGTGACAAATAATCGTAAAATGTTTGAAAAAAATAAAATCGAATATTTTTTACTTTTATCGTTTAAACATAGATATTTCAAAACAAATTTAATTATTTTTAAAGAGTTTTAAGCACCTTCAACGAAAATGTTTTAAAATACGTCGTATTTTGAAGGTTTAGTCATGCTTTACAAAGAGGAGCAAATGAAAGACTTATTTTATAATGAACAGTTTTTGCAATAAAGATTACTTTTAAGTTTTAATTTTTTTGGAAGATAAGATTATGTGAAGCTAGAAAATTGATTTTCAAATTTTACATTTTTTAGCCTTACTTTATGACTTTGCGGGATATTAATAAATTGATACATTTCCTTATAACCTGAAGTATTTTTTCTTTCTTTACGTAGTATTTCTTATATCGTATATGATCCTAAAATTCTCACTTTGGTTTAGTCACAGTTGAACGTGTTTTTTTTTAAATTTTAATTGGAAATACTGAACATCATATCTTTTTCCAATATTTTTTTACTTGAACTATAAATTATTATCCTTAAATATCTCGAAATGTAATCATCAACTTCAATTAATGAATCGCAAAGTGTCAGATATTGTAGTACCGAAGTAACCTCGGACAATTTATCAAGAGCTTCCTTGTAAAAAGCTGTAACTGTAGAAGATGCAATAAATTTGATTTATGCGAAGGATTTTTAAAGTTAAAATAACAAACCTTCCTTTTTTGTCAAAATTTTTAGGAAAATCAGTACTTTCATACTTCAAAGAAAGAAGTAAGAAAATCAAATTTTCAAGTCATGGTTATTTGTCGAGTAGTCAGTAAAGAGAATTGATGATTTTTCATAATCTTTTATTAGAATCACTTTTTTATGGTTTTTGCTTGTGATTAATATACCTTACAAACTTTAGCATTTCTATTTGCAAAATCAATTCTTATACACAAGCAGTGGCCTCCGTCAAATTTTCGCGCCAATCACGTAGCGCGGCAACGTCGCATAACATTTCGCGGGAATCAGTCAAGCACGCAATACGAAAGCGAATTCTATACCTATATAATCCTTCGGTACGACTGTATAGTAGAATCACAGTACACATAGCCACCTCTCTGACGGGCGCTTTTTGTCCAGGACATCAGTAATTAGACCAAATTTTAACGTTCAATCCGTTGGTTGTACAATCGTGTCAATATTTTTTTCAATAATTTTCTTAGGTCTCTCGTGTGACCAGTGCGATTGGTGAATCAATAAACAAAAAGTAAAAAATTAGCGTCATGAGTGATTCGGACTTAAATCTTGTTGATCCGTCAGCGCGATCGGATGAAGATTTCGACGAATCTAACACTTTGACGATGATAGACGTGTTGAAGGAAGAAAAAGAATTGGAGGAAGATTGTAATGCTGTTCTTGGGGCATCAGATGATCAGAACTGCACTTATAATAAGGTGACTGACATAACCCTTTTAATTATTTATCGTTCAATTTTAAATTTTACTTTACAATTTTCGGATGTTTGAAATTCAATGCCATAGAGATAAAAATTTTTGAGACTCTGCATTTGAATTTAAATGATATTGGTATCTCTAAATGAGATTTTTATGAAAGGATTTTGTATTATGCAAATTTAAAGATGAAAATTCTATAATAACTCTTAGAAAGCATTATTTTAAATCATGAAAGTGAACTTTTTCTGGAATATGAATACATTTTTTCAATATGTTATTCAACAGGGATACATTCGACAAGCATTATATGCTTGTAAAACGTGCACCAAATCGAGAGCAGCTATTTGCCTAGCTTGTTCATTGCATTGTCATGAAGGACATGAACTCATAGAACTTTATACCAAACGGCTTGTTAAATGTGATTGTGGTAATCCATTATTTGGTGATAAAAAATGCAAATTAGATATTGTAAGTTTATCTCTGCTTCTCAATTGTCGTAAAATATTTTTATGAAATTTATGAATAATTATTAAATTAGTTTAGAAAAGAGTTGAATGCAGAAAACAAGTACAATCACAATTATGAAGGTCTTTATTGTATATGTAAAAGGCCTTATCCAGATGAAGCTGATCCAAATCCTGATGATATGATACAATGCTGTATTTGTGAAGATTGGTATCACTCAAAACATTTGGGTTTAAAAACAATACCAGAAGGTGATGATTACAGTGAAATGACTTGTGCAAGTTGTATGAAAAGTCATGATTTTCTATGGAAATATGCTTCAATTTTATCAGGTACACTAAATGTTTTGCAACTTAATCTTTAAATCAAGTTCTTTATTATTAATATAATACCATTAGTATTAAAGAAAAAAGAAACTGAAACAAAAGTAGATGAACACATTGATGTTGAAGAAATAAAGACTGAGTGCTCTTTGCCCAAAGAAGAACCTTCTTCAAAAGAAGGAAGTTGCTTTTGGGTAGGAGGTTGGAGACATAAATTATGCAAATGTTTAAATTGTAAAAAGGTAAATGATTTAAGATGAATATCAATTCACTAGTGATATTTTAAAGTAAATTTTTATTGATTTATAATAAATTTTAGTTGTACAACGATGAGGGTGTATCTTATTTGATCGATCCACTTGACAGCGTTGAATCTTATGAAGAAGCTGGAAAAGCTAAATTGAAAGAGTCTCAGTATGAAAAAGGAATGAAAGCACTTTCTTCATTGAATCATGTTCAACAGGTGAATGCTATCGAAGGATTCAATGAAATGAAAGATAGCTTGAAGCAGTATCTGAAAAAATTTGCCGAAACTAAAAAAGTTGTGCGAGAAGAGGATATCAAAGAATTCTTTTCAGAAATGATCGCGCAAAAGCGTCGCAAAACGGAAGTTTCAACTTTCTATCAATAATTTGGAAAATTGTGTACATATTTTTTTCTTTACTTTTCAAGTATTTTATTTTCAAAATTTATAACATACTGCTTATAATGCATCTATTTTCATAATCAATGATTCATAAATTTGAAAAATGTTCTCACTATCACGAACCTTATTATTAGTATAAATAACATAGTTTCCAAAATATTACATAGATCATTAAGGTTATGATAAAAATAATTTCTTCACATAGTATTACTAGAAATCATTTTGAGAAAAATTTATAGATTGATCTTGAAATTTATTTTGTACGAATTTTAATTTGTTTAAATCTCATTTGTGTAAAACAAAAGAAAAGTGGTGTTGAAATAAATACCTTGAAATTTTACAAAACGTTTGACTTAAAAATTTTCTAATGAAAAAAGCTATTTGTCCTAGGAAAATAATATTATTCAAAAGTTAAGTACTTAAGCACTCAGTAATGTAACGAAATGCATTGAAATTTTGTTCTTAGAGCATCAAAGACAAGCAGAACAAAGAACTTTATAAATGCAATATTCAGGGTCTCTTGCAGCAAACAGTTTCGCAATTTTTGATATGCAAAGGTAGCACCACTATTGGCTTGTTACAGTTGGGTTTGTCGGTGTAGATCGACCAAGTTCGTGCAATGCAATCGAAGATTCCTATGAGAAATATTTTCAACGATGAAAATTTTACTTTGTGAATAAGAAAATGGTGACAGAATATAACAAACCAGTGGCAATAGTTTTAACGTGATCTTCTGGCCTTATTTCCTGATAAACTCTGAAATCATCATCAGTCTGATCGCTTAATATGTCGATGACGTGTTGAACGGTCTTGGGGGGTGGATGTCTCTCGATCGCTTGCATCCTGTGAATGCTACTGTCGATGATTAAACCATTGACTTCTGGCACCTTCAAGCGCATATATCTATAAAACGATAGCCGTTAGAAATCAATGGAATAAATGGTAGATCAGTAGATGACGTCGTACGCACTTGTTGCAATGATAAAAATATTCGCCCGGACTGGCGGTCTGGACGTTGAGCTGCGAACAAGCCATGTCGGTTTCGCAAGGCCCGATCTCGGCGTTGTGAAACATCCGATCGCCGTCTTGCAGCAAAAACGTCATGTTGACGGAGAAGCCCTCGGCGGCACCGTAGCCCTCGTTGCGCAACACTTCCTGCGCTTGGACGTAGTTCTCGACACCTAGCAGAGCTCTCGTCATGAAGTAACGCGCTGCAAAGACGAGCACAGAAAAATCATCAGCTGCGCGTGCACAGGCACTTGGCTACAACGACAGCGCGATGCTTACGAGTTTTTCCAGAACGAAGCGTTTTGGCACTCAAGGTGTTGATGCAGTAAACGAGGCCGTGATAATTGTAGCCCATTGTGTAGCCCGGCAAAAATCCCGCGTAACTAAGCGAGGTGAACTTCTCTTCCGGGAGGTCCGGCTCCTGCACGTGGGCGTCGACTATGTACCAATGGTTCAGTGTCTCTGCCAAGGCATCCTCGTTGTGACCCAGTATTTCCTGCGAAGCGACGTAATTTCGAGGATTCAAGTAGAGCCTCTTATGAATTAATTACTCGCTGCGGAATGAACTCACCTGTCCAGGCTGATTGCAAACGATGGACGAGCAACCGACCGGCTGATCGTTGCCCTGAGCTCCATTGTCTGCGACATTCGGCACGATGTCGTCGAGGTGCATGAGAAATAGCTTCGATCGAAAAAGCAGAAATAAGCTAATCAAACATCGTATATCTCGGTAATTATTATTCAGACTCGCTCACTGCCGATATTAAGCGGGTCTATTTCAGCGTCGACAGCCTCCACACGCAAACTCGAGAATGTAATTGTGCACAAGGTGAAAGTCTTACTCGATGTATGAAAATATGGAAACGAACCTTGTAAAAGGGGACTCCGGAACCATCGGCGGTACCCTCGATCTCGCGCACGTACTGAGGGTACTGCTCGCGCACACAGGCCAGCGTCTCCTCGTAGACTCTGCGACCCTCGCTCGTCTCGTACATGCCGAGGTAATTATCCTGCAGCGGCCTGTAGCGCTCGACAAAGTCGCCGATCATCTTGGAAAACGTGCGTCCCTGTAAAAGATATTTTTACGCGATATGTCAACGCAACTCATTATGTGCTTAGGCGATTCGTCGAATCAAAGCTCCCGCGAGTCGAGAGAAAAAAAGAAAATAAAAAGAAGCGAGTGTGACCTTTTCGATCGAGGAGCTGCTCGTAATAATATAAGTTACGCGATAATGTAATACATGCCTCGCTCGTACATATGTGCATGCGCGTGAATATACAGCTGCGGCGCAGAGGTCTTTTTTGCGCTCGGGATAAAAATCAGCTGCTTCATCGAAATCGTGTCGTCTCGGATTGTCTTGGAGTCTTCGAGTAACGCCGTTCTAGCGCACCTGCACGCAGTGACACACGAGAGTCTTGTTCATTAGATGCGTACGGTACGTACGTATACCTCGATAGAGCTCGCGGTATTAGAGAACGATAGGCGATTAAGGATTTTTCATTCTCTCGCTCGAGAGTCAATGCGCGCGAAGCTGCGCGCGATAACATCGAAACTCACGCACGTTCATGTACTGACACGAAGCGATTTTAGAAAAATTATTGCTCTTTTTTTCTTACTCGCTCGATATCTCTATCGCTCGATCGCACTTGCCATAACTTTATTCACATTGTATTTTTATGATGTGTGTGAGCATTTAAATAAATTGTTACGATTGTGTGTTGAGCTCCTGTACGTTTCGATTAATCTCATGGTAAAATTTTTGCATTAATTAAATTAACATTTTTTATGAACCCTCGAGGTTTTTACATGCATTAATTGGATCAAGAAAGATAAGCCGTAGAACATTACGCGTTGACATCGAGACGTTTGCCTATACACATATAGACGTCCGATTACCGATCACATACAATTTTTACTTTAAACTATGTAACTCTAAATGAATAAATACATTCTCCGCTACAATCAACGTGAAATGTATTTTAAATAAAAACACTAATGTAAATCCGATATAGCATAGAACGCAAACATCGAAAGATAATTGTTAGTTTTTCGAAAAAAAGCCAAACAGAATTATCCACGTGCTCGCGTGCACTGCAGCGGTTCGTTGTGCTTGTTAACATTATCTCTTTCCTTCTCTCTCTCTCTCTCTAGTGCACGCGCGGATACACAAAAATGGCTAGATAGATAATTGCGCAAACTATACACACACGGTCTAGAAATAAAGCGGCTGCTCACATGTCCTTTTCTTTCCGAGTGCGAGAGCGTAAATAATGTGTGCGCCAACAGGTGTCCGTGTGACTTACGGACAATTTAGAAGCAAACAGGGCGCGTTTAAGTGCTCGTAACGTGCATTACATGCGCTCGACATAATCCTTACTATTAATCGCGATACTGCAACTCGCGTGTCTCGCCTGGCATACGCACCTTAAGCTAAGAATTTTAGGTGTTTTTTAAAACCCCAACAACTCCGATAATTTGTGGGCTTCTGCTGCATTGATCAGTGCCTAAGAATATCTGCACTTTGCGGATCTATACTTTTCAAAAACTACTAATTTCACAGAATGATCTTGGTGCGTTGGTATAAAGACATCATGAATCATTGTACGCGCGTAAATATGATTGAAACATTTTATGTATGATTGAACTTAGCATTGAAAAGTTTAATGATACGAAACAAATTCACTTGTTATATGACGGCTTATGAGTAGCTTACTTTTCTTGTTTGTTTTCATTTTAGACGCCTCCGACATCATTGAACACCGTCGTTATTTGAGCACGACTGATAATTTAAATTAAAAATTTTTTTGCAAACGATGAGCTGCCATTACAACGAGCAATTTCCAGTATCTCGCAATGAAAAGGTTTTAGCCAAACGTTTTCCTTGTTTCGACTGCATTGTTTCTTGCAGTATATATTAATCAGGCATAATGGAGCATGAAATTTCTGAACGCCTATTTGTCTCGCAGTTCTCATCAGTATTAATTGCATCAATTCGGATGCCAGGTATTGCTCGCGATAGCGAAACAAGCGCAGAAAATTTCATCTAAAATCACACGTCAGGTTTTTATTAAAATGTACGTGCACTGCTCGACTTGTATTGAGGCAAAAGTCAGTAAAAATTGCGAGCTAATGAATTTCATGATAAACAGGTAAAATACGATCGTCATTATTATTTACGTTTTTCTTCGCGCGCACTCATAAATATATTATAAATATATTGCGCAATTTGTGTATAAATAAAATGCTTCAACTATTTATGTTTATTATTTGCCTTAGATTATGGATCAACTAATGAAGTTGCGAAACGTCGCTTATACGTATTCGTAGATGCGAATAAATTGTGCATTTTCATTTATCAATGACGGCTCTTTTATCGGACGCGTTAAAACGATTTAGTTCTACTTAAATGCTTATATCTAGAGAGAATAGAATGTAGTATTTACTCACGATGTCAAATCCGATCTCATAGTGAGTTCCTCGAGTGCAGATGATTGGCACCGCATTTCTCCGTCCGATATCTTGCGAGGTCAGATTTTCTTTCGGTACTTGAACTACGGAAGTCATGGCTGCGGCAAGCTAATAATCTGGCACCTAGAACCAAGTTAAGATTTAATAATGAGCACTATATATTGAACGAAAAGCACCTCGAATAATTTCGTTACAAACTCAAACTCGCAGATTAGACAAACAAATTGAGTTATCAATCGGTAACAGGTGTAGGAGCTATAATTTCATCGCGTGTTTTTGGGTTCAATAAAAAAATTCTGTATAAAAAACTTGATATTAAAAATGATTTAAAATTTTTTACAGATGTACAGACGAGAATATTATAGATATAACTTACTCGCACGATAAAAACAAGCGCGTAACAAGCATGTACGTTAGTCGTCGGGCACGAATTCGCAAGCGCCGCAAGAGACGAAAGCTCAGGAAAGACACGCGCGACTAAGCAACAACGACTGCAAGCGAGCGCGAGTACAAAAGTCAAATGCGAGGAAGACCGATCGCGACTCTCTAAGTCTTATCGACCCCCCCAATGGACGCTTTTCATCTTGATATACGTACTCGCGAGTCCCTCGCGTCGCCCCTCTTCCATTCAAATTCATTCGCGTATTACTCGCACATGTGTACCGCGATTATTCCGCGATGCGCTCGTGATTCTTTATTTACTGTAAAATAATGGTAAAAATGTAGCATTCATGATTGCGCTCATCAGTGTGCTTTTTTCACGGGCAAGCAGTCGGTTTGCCAATAACTTTTGACAAAGCTTTCTATTTCGATCGAAGATCTCTCGAGGAGTTTAAAAAAGCATAAAAAGAATAAGATTCACGCTTTTAAGCGTACGCGTGGGAAATCGAATGACATTTTTTTCGCGAAATTAGTCAAAAACGGGTCTGACGAATGTTTTCATGGTATAGCTCTATCGTTCTTACCGATCAGATTACTCGACCTTTATAATTTTTCTATTGACCATTAATGATGGGGTATTTACGATTGTGCGTCAGGACTGCAGTCTAGAATACAATGCTTGTAGAATTGATACGCAGGATTCTATTAATAAGTCAAAAGATGATTAATACATTAATAAATCTTTTTCATACAGATCACATAAAAAAGTAATAAAAAACATACCTAAAAAATCTTGGCCTTACTCCAATTACAGTAAAATACGTTTTGGGTTAACTCTTGTACAATTTCATTTCTTTGAACGAGCTTTAATATGGCTTCTAATGATAGCACGTTTCATTATAATAAATATCGAGTTGGCTTTGCAGTGATAAATTTTCAATCTATTGTACGCTTTATTGTAAGCATTTTTTCAATTAAAGGTTGATATTTAGTTATATTAATGATGAGGCGTGACTAATTAGTTGCAAGTATTCGGCCTTAAAACGTAGTAGTTTATTTTTATAACTGAAAGATGCAATTAAAAAGTTAGAGGCATGCATACAAAGTGTATCACGTTTGGAGAGAGAGAGAGAGAATTATAATGTGTTTATTTATTGAGGACCTGCGGATGGTTATTTACATAAGTATGGGAGTATGTCTGTTTTTTATTATATTATTTACTTAATTATTCGAATAGTATGTCATTAATAATACCAGTCAAGATGTGCGTGTTCGTATTATCTATTATCAATGCAATCGGCGATTCGCATGCATAAATTTTCTTCTCAGATATATTAATATATTTATATATTTACGAAGATAAATATTTTTTATGATTTGAGTAAATAGGCTCTATTCCATATCGCGAAGCATAAAACATAAATGTGATCATGAAACGTCGCGACTCAATCCGTTTGCCTAATGACGTCCGTTTTAATAATATTATTTAACTGCATATCGTTCCCATTTACGTATGTTGGAGCTTGTGGTTTCAGCTCATTCTCCATAAAACAGAGTAATTCGCAGCCACGGCGCATTGAGTCAAGTATATTCGAACGCACATGCGCAGTGCAGCGTCTTTTAAAGGAAAACTATTTGATTTCGATCTCAGCACGATCATGATGGTGTGAACATGGTCATTGACGCGTGCGCAACGTCAGTGTGATTCACCGTGCCGTTGCCGCCGAGCAAAAGAGAGTCAAGATGAAACGACGTCACAGGATATTCCACGCTGATTTTTTTGTTGCATAGAAAGGACGAAAATTTGCACAGCTGGACGTTTGCGTGTGTACGTGCAGATCGATTTTTGCTCTACTTTTTTGATCACGCATGGCACTGTCTCATTATGGTTTTCTCATGCAACGAGGTTGAAACTTGCATGAAAAAGCAATTGTATCGAGGGGCGAGGGACAAGTGCAAAACTATTATCTAATTCTCGGTTAGCGGAGAAATTATCCAGTTCAGACGGTAAAGACCTTCGAGCGAGGGCGACCGTGTCACCAAACTCTCAAATCCCGTTATAAGAAAATCAATGAACTTGAACACAACGTAGTTGTTGTTGCTGCTCGTACCGATACGGCAATCAACATTTCGGAGAGAGTTCAAGTTTTAGGTTGAAATATAGTAAATTCAATTTAAGTTTTGGCTCCTAAATTTTATACAGAAGTGGAAATAAAAAAATTATTAGATGTCTATATCGCGCACGCTTGTCAAAGAAATGAAGAGATCAATGAACTAAGAATAATAAAAAATAAAAGTAAAATATACAAGGGTGAATCTCGTCCCAAGTTTTGAAAATAATTAAAAATCAATGAAGCACTAATAGGTGTGACATTCTTCCAAGTCATAGTCACGAACTTGCAACGAAAGCAAGGCCACGCGGGTCGAGCTGCCTACTTTTAATCCTTTTCCGCGTAACCCGTTTCGTATATGCTGGGGGCGTTGCGCGCGACTTACAATGTGCGAGCGTGTACGCACTGGGTTTGTCCTCACCGTGCAGATGCTTGCATCAACGCAATACGTGCACTTGCGTGATTATATAGCGGATTATCTCGTGCCGTTCAACTCGAGCTCTACCGAAAATAACGACCTCGACGCAACGTTTTAAAAGCTGCGAGCTGAATGAAACATCTCAAACACCGAGTATCGAGCCGTTCCGATTCAACAACTTATCGAAGGTGCACCCATGATTGATTAATGATCGTAATGTTTCAACGCGCCGTCAAACATATACTGTGTAGCCTATATTGTATATATGTAGCATACGTTGATGAAGCGATTATTAATGAGAACAACATTATAATTATTGGACTGTGTATAACGCAATATGTTATACAAACAATTACTTCGTTATCGCTGATCGAGAGACTGTAAGTCAACAGCATTTGTGGCCCGACGATTCATGCGTGTGCGGCTTTGAAACGAGCTCGTAAAAATTAAAATATCTTCACTTCTCGATATTCAATTATAATAATTTGAATCGCGGTTGCTCGCGAATCCAACCAAGTCATTATTTTATACATTGTATAAAGTGTCAACCTATAGCGGATTACCGATAAATTATATCACTTTTGTCTAATACAGGTAAAAAAATCGGAATGATCTGTTAGAACCACGTGCGAAGGCCTTGGCTCTTATCATTCAACCAGAGGAATGGCTTCCCGAAGCCTTGGCATCTCCTCCAAAGCTAATTTAGCTTGGCTTCTCTTTGTCGTCTTCTCTTTGTACGTACATTTGTATAACATTGAAATACATACATAATATCGTAGTAGTCGCAGCCACCGTTGTCGTCGTCGTTTGCACCCACATAGCACATGCTACACGATGCATTAGTATACGGATACATACATATATACGACTGACGACTTGGTGACTTGCTACCGAGAGTTGCAAATAAATTTCTAAATACATGTTATAATTAATTAACTCGGTACAGTCGCGCGAATAGCTAATTCAGCGCCTGGCGTAGATGCATTGCATACGCTGATTCTGAAATCCCATGCTCGAGTGCTCAACAGGTGTGGTTTGCTCCGAGATCTTATTAACATTAATGCAGATTAGTATGTGTACTTTAGAATTAAATTTTGACGAAGAGCAAATTACCTATTGTTATAATTGACAACTCAAATTCGCGTATTATTACATCTCGCCGGCTCGAACGCAGATATGTTTGCTAGTGAAAGTGCAAGAAAAAATTCACATACGATTTTGATTATTCTAGCTAATAATCACAATCAAATGTTTTAAAAAACGAAGATAGTTTTAATATAAGTTTTAACATTATAAATATAAAAAACATAATGAAAAAGCAAAGAAGTATACTGCGTTGAGAGAATATTTTTGAATGAAATAAGGGTGAGAAAGGGTAATAAATAGTTCTTTTTTTCTGTTCTTTTCTTTTTTTTTTTTAATGTCAAAATAGAATGCTAATAAAAATATATGTATTCTTATTTTATCTTTTAAAACAGAAATTATAATATTTGAATCGTAAATACAAGTTCTTTACTTTCAGAAAATACAAAAACTCTTTGAAATAAAAATATTGGACATATAATATCAGTGATAGCTATTTCATCACAATTTGGTGCACTTATATCTAACATGTAAATTATTTTTGTATAAATAATAATAACGTACAAATTATTTTAGCATTTATGATAATTTTTAACTTAAATAATTGCATGTTTAAACCAAACCCGGTGTTCACACGAAAACGTGAAGAAAAAAATATGTTTTTTCATTCATTGAATTCTACAAAAATGTGTCTATTGATCTGTCAATGAAGCCTTTCGGTCAGAAGTTATATTTGATCTTTGAAAGATGATATTTCAGTATTAGCCTGTTTAAAGGATTTGAACAAATTTATTATTATGGCACTATAGATCTTTATGCTATTTTTTATTTTTAACTGAATTATAAGAGTACTTACTTAGTTTAGATTTCATTTGTAGGACTATTGCAACTGGCGTGATTTAACTTATTTTGCAGAATATTTTGCCTTAAAACTTTCACAATGATTATTTTGGAGACATATCGCGACAATGTTTGTTTCGATCATTATCGACAGGTTCTTCTTGATATCGCCAAACATAAACTCCACCATCCCACTGAAAAAGTCAAAAAATATTTTTAAACCCTAATAAAAAATTTTCGAATGTTTTTCAATAGAGTGCCTTTTCCTAGATAAAATAAAATATTCCTCCTTACTTCATTGATCATATTTATATTAAAAAACTTTAAAACTTTGTTCACTGTCTCTATTTATTAATGAAATATAAAATATCCATAAAATAATAATTACCGATGTTGAAACAATTTCAGGGTGGTGAGGATGCCAATTTACATCACGAACAAGAGCTTCGTGACCGGCACACCAATGTATGATTTTACCACTGAGTACATCGTAAACTGAAATGAATTCATAAAAATTAATTTCAATACTTGATGCATTTGAAATTTTTTCAAACTTACTTATAATACGTCCACAACCATCGCCTGTACAAATGAATCGTTGTCCCGTGGTTTCAGTAGGTGAAAAACGACATCGAATCAACGTTTGACTAACAATGTGTCCACGATAAGTCATAACACTTGTATCACCCTTTATAAGTCTGGGCGGATTTAAAACTAAAGTAAATACATAGTTTTAATGGACACTTATATTTATTTAATGGCGAATAAATTGTAAGTAACTCACGTGACTTTGGTACATTTTGCCACCTGTAATCCCATGCTATATTAGCATTTATGACAATATGTCGAGCTTCTTTTTGAGCCTCTGAACTTGAAAATACTCTTGTATCCCATAACTTTATAGTTTGATCTTTACTGTTTGTAATGTAGTACGTTCCATCACCTCTGGGTTCAATATGAGTGATACTACCTTGATGACCAGTATGTATTCCAACTGGTTTAGGATGATTTACATTTAACAACCTTCTATCCCATACCTAAAATAGAACTTATTCTCATAAAATTCGCTTTGTTTGTATTGTATCAAATCGGATAATCTGCCTTACTCTACAAAGTCCATCATCACCAGCACTGAAAAGAATTTGTGAAGATTTATCAGCATATGCAACGCTATTCACATCAAATCTATGATTTTTTACCTAAATCAATTCAAAATAATTAATTTAATTGTTATTACAGGTACATATTCACATATTTTTACTTACTCTGATTTTTGTTTTCAATTCCCTATCATAAATGTACAAACATTCATCATTTCCCCCGCATAATAGTTCACGATCATCACTGGAAAACTTTATTGAAAAAATACAAAAACGCATGCGCCGATCATCCTTTATAAGTAATGATTCTCTTTCATTTGTGTTTCCATGAACTGCGTGCAAGTATACTAGTACCAGAAAAAAATTTGGATGAGTTGAAGTAAAATTCATAAAAAGAAAATAATATAAACAATTAATACCATTATCAGACCAGCCAGAATATACAAAATATCTATCATCTGAGCTGAAAGCTGCATCAACTATACTCCATCCATAAGATGGAATAGAAAATCGTTTTGTTTTTGAATATATTCGACTATTGACACGAAACAGGTATACATCTTTGTCTGTATTAAAAAATGATTTTAACACAATAAATTTATATTTAAAATTTTTAATCAATAAAACTATTGAAAAATCATACCTTGAACGGTTGTAAGCAAATGTTGCCCATTTTTCGAATATATACCGCAAAATGGTTTAGATGAAAATTTCTTTATCCTCTGGTATGTGTTTGGCAGATATTGACCAGTTATCATTGATTTAGTTCCAGAACTAAAATTGATCCCGCATTCTCTATACTTTAATAATGATAACACAGACTGCTTGTTCTCAGAAGTTATTCCACATGCGACTCTAATCGACTGAGCTAGATCACTCCTCTAGACAAATACATTTTTGATGTTTTAAGGTATTTGTTGTTGATAAACATTAGATAGTTCAACTTTTCTAATTAAAAAAACAAATTCTAAAAGCATAAATATTAAAAAAAATATTAAACAAAATAAAATTATAAGTTGCATTATATTGTGACACAACTACTTTTGAATATAAAAAACATTGGTCAAGAGGACATTTTTAATTCAATATGATACTATTTTATCCATTATGAAATTAGATGAATTAAAAACTAGTTTAATTATAGCATATAAAAAAATAATATACCTCTAATTTATCCGTAGAACAAGCGAGCGCTAAATTTTTCGGTTCACGTGTGATAAACGAATAATCTTCAGCCTCACCATCGCTCGACCTGTAATTCCACATAATAAATATCGATTAAGACGTTATTGAATACATTATATAGCATGCTGCATGATAAGTAATTTTTGTAAACAAACAATGATGGCGAGTCCGTATCTGACATTTTTGACGCGCAGGTGGCTGTGAGACGTTATTATTTACTATTGTATAAACTCCGGCAAAGTCACAGTAGACAGCGCATGTATCAAGCAGACATTTAATCGCGGAAGTTAACACGGTATATGTCATTTATAGCCATATACACAATCACTACATTTTTATTATTTTTACGACATTGTAAAAAAAAGTGCGGTGTAGTTTCACATTATTATAGTAAAGTCTGCAAATGTGAATGCACCTGCAGAGTGCGGACTGTTAGATAAGGTTATGTTAGCGAATCTTCGTTTTCAAAACAATAGCTGATAAGTTTGGTCACTGCAGTTGCAAATCTCTTTTTACGCGCAGACTGGGCAGATGGTACTGCAGTCCATGTGAGTCGTGGTGAAATCAACAGTTTATTTATATTAGCTATGGAAACTAATACCACTTATTTTAATTATTTAAATAAACAGGGTGGGTGCTGAATAAACGTTTAGAAATAAGCTTATTTATTGTGGGGGTTTGAATCAGTGATTGACCACTTTTTGACATCCAATAATTATACTTTTTCCCTGTTATACGATGATTAGACATATAAAACAAGACGAATTATTCACAAAATAATTGTCAGACGATTGTGCGATGTTGTCTTATTATTAATAACTTGATACGTTTATAGAAATATATTTTTGATTGTTTATCATAGCATATTTTTCAAAATGTTGATTCACTGTTGCAACAATGCAAATTAAAATTGTAAATTAAACATTTCACTCGTCAATAATAGTGAGGTGATATACATCGAGAGTGGTTATAATTAGATGTAGACTGAGTACAGTGAAGTCATTTCACATTATTTCAAGAATCGAACAATAATAATTGTTGTCCCTCAATCTCCTTACATTTTTACTTATCATGTTTTTTATTTTTATGTTTATCTAAGGTCCCAGTTATCATCAAACATTAAATTATATGATTCAATGTAGATATAGTTATACATCCGGGTTGAAAAAGATGACGTTTATTTTCAATGACATTAATGATATACTAGCGCTTTACCTCACTCGTTTACGCTCGTTCGGTTTTCAGATCATTTATCAGAAATTTTGGGAGGATGCAGAAATTTTAAAAGTGGTTTTTACTAGTATCGATTCAACATTCGTTGTAGAGTCTATAAAATAACGTTTTTTATAGGGTGAAGTAATTTTTGTTTTTCTATAATTTTTTTGGTTTTATGAATTATTGAGCAGCTAAGATGTATACAAAATTAAATAATTAAAGCCCTATTTTTAATAAAATGATATTGTACTTAAAAAAATAATTTAGTAGTTCTGTTTAAGTACTATAGTACTAATACTATAGTATTTTTTTGTATAGTACGATTATAATCCTTTTTTTTAGCAATCGAAATCAGAAATTTTAGGGATCCAAGCAATTTTTCCAGCTTCACTGCGTAATATATAAGATTTATGAATGAATATAAATATCGATGATATAAAGGGAAGCTTTTACACAACGAAAAACAAAAAAGAATCTGTTGTTATTTATCAATTTATCAAAACCTTTTTAAAAAAGTTTGAAAAAACTCGACGTATAAGAGTTCATTGAGAGCCCAAGTCAAGTCATACGAAAACGATGATACTTATTCAAGTGATCAAGAGCTTTTTACTCAAAATGATAATATTTTAGTAAAATTATATTTTTTTATAAGTGAAATAACAAAATTTCAACACATAAATCATCTTGTCGCTAATCATAGAAAGTTTCTCACTGCTGTTGTATAAAATATTCGCTGTTTGCGCATATAAAATTCGAAAGCTCAAGAGCTGTCCGCAAGTTCGGCCGTTTTTCATGTTTGTTTTCAGATACACAAGCCCTAGTAGTGCCCGCAAGTTTTACATACGCAAGGTGTGTTGCATTAAGGATAAGATTCACGAGCTGCGGATAGCTTGTGTGTATGTGCGCGCCCTTGTGTGCTGCAGATGTATAATATCAGCACTGGGCTCTGGCGCTAGAGCCCGCGCGTAATAAGCTGTTTCGTCCTTATTTATTTATAAGCGGTTCCTGTGCCGCGGCATAGCATGTATACGTCCACGATACGGTTACACGCGCCGCTCTTTTCGCAATGGTGTAAAGATGGATTAGCGCAGAGCTCCGCCTGGGCAATGTATCACTCTCGAGCCACTTTTATTCCTTCGTCAAGGCTGCGAAAAAAATTGCTTCATTTTACAGAAATAATAACTCTCGCGCGTATCGGCCAAAGTAAGCCTCGTGTCTTTTTTGAAAAACCTCCCTTACCATGACTCATAAGAAAGTAGTATGTTTTCTGGTAAATCCTCAAACAGATGTTCTGTAAAACCTTTCTCTGTAATTTTCAATTAACAAAGTGAGTCTTGTCTAAATTAACAGTCAATTTAATTAAAAAGTGTTATTTTATGCCGGAAAAAAAATAATAATGATGCAACTTTTACATCTAGAAAAAAATCTATTTTGTCATTTCACTGACAGTTACTGCAGAAATATTTTTTAATCAAAATGAAGAAATGCAAAGAATTGAAATGATTTCCATGTAATGTTTGTTTTTTTATTCATGCTCATATTTTTAAAATTTAAAAACCTGAGTATCCGAACGATTAAAAATTATTGCATTCTGCTTAGCCTCGTTGTAAACGATTTTCGTCCAATTTTCAATTTGATCTTAAATTAAAACGTACTTTTTAAAAATATAGATAATACTTTTAATGCAAAGAAGTTTTCAACATTTCATTCAATAGCATACTTATATAATTTACCGAGGAACAACACACTAATGAGCTTGCAAAAGCAATTCAAATATTTCGTTAAAATTATCATCGTTTATTCTCCGTGCTTATTAAAGTTATGTCCGAATATAATACTTTATTGTAAATTTTTTGTGTCCTGAATTGAGTCCAGACATGAATACAACAACCAAAAAATGTAATTCTTACTTATAGTAAGTTTTCTATGCTATATAGTTAATGTTGTCTGACATCTATTTTGAATAATCGTTTTGTCCTTCATTTTCCGGGTATAGTATAAACGCATTTCAAAGCATAATTTGACTTCTTGACCGTGAAATTTATTTGTTCCTTCTGCTCCCGAAAAAATTTAAAGTTTTTCTTTCAATTGATTAAAATTTAATTATTGATCACGATAAAAAAATATTGCTTATTGGTTGACGATCAAAAATTGTACGATGATGTTTAAGTGTCTTGCTAAAAACGGAATCGATTGGATTATTGTTCAATTCCGAAGTGTACACATCAACGTGAAGCGCAATATCTGTTTCGGAGAGTAATATCGCACATGGTCTCTCTCTCTCTCTTGGTGGCTATCGTATCTGATAATAATTAAATTCCGCTTACGTCGACAATCACCTCTATATGCGCGATGAATTATATATGTTCTTCCTTTAAATTTTAACTGAAATTCTTTGACTGGTATGAGAAAGGAAAACAAACGATGGCGACTGTCGCTTTGTTTAAGAAGTGCTTGAAATTGGAATCCGTTCACAAATGTATATATTGCTAACTTTCAATACGTTTAAAATCGCAGTTTAAAATGCCTTAAGCTGTTTTAAATATTGAATGTATTTTGAGTTGAAGTTTGAACCTCTTGTTAAATCATTGAAATGTCTGTAATGATCAATGATACATTATGAAATAATAATTTTAATAAGAAAATAAAATGCTAACTGGTACTGAACTGATTAGTATTGTTAGTTTTACTGTTGTAGTACCCAATACCCACATATTTCATCATTATAACTACAGATTCACTTCAGATAACAGCCTTAAAAGTACCTATTAGTATGATACCAGAAAGAAGAAGTATATAAAATCTATAATAATGATTATAAAGCGATGGAAGAAATAAATTTCCCCAAGAACTTTACAGTCTGTAGGTGTTGTGTGTCCTCTACCATACATTACAGTGAAATCTCCCAATAGCGGACACCCAAAAAACCTGGAAAAGTGTCCGCTATTGAGAATGTCCGCTATTGGGAATAAATGTTACATGGAAAAGCATAGTAAAAATTCGGGTCTTTTTATTAAAAGTGTCCGCTATTAAGAGTGTCCGCTATTGGGAGATTTCACTGTATACGTATCATATGAGGAATCACTAAGAATTATCGATAGAAAATACACAAATGTGCACTGAATAAATGAAATAAAAATCAAACTCTAGGTAAAAATTAAAAATTGTACGGTATATAGTGTTACGAGATATAAAAAGGCTAGTAGTTTTATATTTTTAACTGCTATTTTTATTAATACATTTTTATGTACACTTGACTTCATACACTTGAATTCACATATACTTTTAATCACATACTGAAAAAAGTACAATAATAAAAAAGGCGTTAGTGGTAGCAAGGAAGTTAATAATGGATCACATCATTAGTTTTTCTGTTGTGTTTTTCATCAATAGAAGCTTGTGCATCCAGAGATTTAAATTGTTTTCCAATTTAAGCTTATAAAACGTAGCTTTGCTTGACAACTTGGCCGTATGCTTTTTGTACTCGTCGATTAAAAGACGCAGTGGACTTATTGTGAGATTACACATGCCTGAGACGTATAGCACAACGTTGTCTCACCACTCGTCCGATTTCATGGTTTTCTGTTAATTAAGCCTCTGGCTAAATACCTGAAACAGACAACTTCTCACAGGTTATCCAGTCGTATTCTACAACTAACCAGTCAAGTTTTCTGTTCGTCAAAAACTGACACATTCACACATGATAATTCTAAATAATTCAGTTGTTTGCTAAGATATATCGAGTGCATTAATAATCGATTTTGCAATAGTGCTGGCAGCTAGCAACGCTATCAATCACAGTCGAATTAATAAAAAATGCAAGATTGAATATTTGGCCCGTTTAATTAATAATAGTATAATCTGTTTAAATGCGATGCTTATTAGCGCCATTGACTCGATAAATGGAGGAATAAAAAGGCTCCTAGCTTGCGGTCGCATTTGCAAAACGATGATTATCGCGCATCCTATATTCGGACGCGCGTGTTCATACATGTGGACTGGGGAAATAGCACGAGGCACGTCGGGGGTAGCCAGGCGGATTTCGTCTTGCTGTATATACGCACACATAGGCGCGTGTCAGTATACGTAGGAAATTGTGAAATGCCGAGAGGACTGATTGGACACCGGTGGTTTTAAGCCAAAGCTAAAAGACTAATAGATTCAATTTTGCCGTGAGCTCGCTCGGGCTCGGCCAATGCGCGTATAATAATACATATAGGCGCGTACGCATACGCGTACAATGTGCAGAGAGCCACCCCA